CAGAAAGTTGCTAGATTACCAAAATCGAAATGTCAATTCAGACTTCATATTCTGTAGTGTATGGGCGCACAGCCACATACTTTTCTTTTGACTATACTCCTAACCAGGTAAATGTTGAATTTCTATGAATTTCAGGTTTTGTTGCTGAATGACTGAATTTGCAGATTTTTCAGGACACTATTCCAACAAATTCTTCGCTATATCAGCAAAACAATACCGAGGCAACAACGGATCTGTTTTTGTCCTCCACTCAGGTAAATTTTTGAAATTTATTTGTCATCATTTATTCAAAATGACTAGATTTGTAGAATTTCCAGGAAAGTATGATTCCATCATTCTCGTCGCTGTATCAAGAAACAAATCATACCATGAATACAACAGAATTGTTTTCCTCCTCGACCCAGGTAAAATCCAAAATACAATTTTTCCTTACTGAAAATGACTATACTTTTTTATAACACTTTTTTTTATAATTCTATAATTTTTCATTAATTAATTAATTCTATAATACTTCTGTAATTTTCAGGAAACCTCGATTCCGACGCTTTCTTCCCTGGTTCAAGAAACAAACCACACTGTGCCAACATCAAACATATTTTCTTCTTTGAACACTTCTGCAAACGCAGAAGTGTTCAAAGGGGAAAAGGAGGTAAGTAAACGTGGATCACACCCTGTTATTCTTTACGATGTTCCAGGTTCTACTCGAAGCTACATATTCCAATACCACAAAAAGACGAGCCAAGAAGGATGTCTCATCTATCGATGCCTTGGATGTAAGAACCAGTCTAATAAATTTACTTCAGTCCAGGTAAATTATTATAAGAAAATTTTCCAAATGCTTTTTAGAAACGTTTTAGATAACAGACAATAAATTTCATAGCAATCCATGCCTCCTGCAGCATAGATGCCTACCAGCTGAACGCTGCAGGGACAAAGCTTCTCGGGTTACATATAAGGTAAGCTTTCTAATCTGGGAAATCTTTTTCAATGCCAGCATGCTCAAAATGGCAAATTAGAGAGCACCCAAGCTCTACGCAGTGATAAGAAGACTCATAAAGCTCCAACATGTTAGATACTTACATTATATTCTAAGGCTGCTGAAGCGGCGATTCTGGAGATGGACTGGGAAAGAGTCGTAGTCGACTGTAGTGGGCTAGGTTGATGTGTTTTAGCAGATGTCAAAAGGCCTAAGGTGCTACAAGCTTTTGCCGAGGACGGGTAGGGGAACGAAGGCCGCCAGTTTGAGCCGCTTTTCGCTGCCAACTGGTCCTTTCGCTATGCTGCATGTCGTTGCAGGACCAGTAATCCGCGGAGGCGGCTCAAGCTGGCGGCCTTCGTTCCTTTACCCGCCGAGGACTACGCTAGCAAAAGAACGTTTGCGAGATTGAAGTTATAATTTTACTAAGAATTTGAATATGGTTGCTGTTGCAGAGCAGCTGCTGCCCAAACGAGAACGATTCTGATGTCCGATGTGCCTGAAGACCTTCGAGAAGTA